ATGTGTTTTCATAATTTTTTTCTTTTCACCCCCTTTTTTTAACGATTTTTTCTATTTTTATAATATGCGCTTTTTTTTTTTTTTGCTTTTTTAACCTCAAATTATAAAAATACAAAATTTTCATATGCTTTATTGACACCCCTTTTTTTGAAGAAAATACAAAATATTATACCAATATTTATATATAAATAAAACTAATTAACAAATAAATCAATAAAAATAAAAATAAAAATAAAAATAAAAATAAAAATAAAAATAAAAATAAAAATAAAAATGAAAAAAATAATTATTAACAATATACTTTGTATAGGTTTTTATGTTTATTGAAATATTTAAATTTTGTATAGAAAAGGAATTTTCTTTTGTACGTCTGAGATCTATTTTACAAATTATAAAGAATTTGTTTAATTTTTAGGACTATTATAAAATTTTATTATTAATATATTATATTTTTATAAAAAATAAGTATTTTTAAATATATACATACTCTTCTTTTTTTGTAATATCTTGATTATAATTATTATCAGTTGATGATGGTGATACTGGAGTTGTTGGTTTGGGTGGCTTTAGTACTAATTCCTCATCCGGTGCATCAAACAGATCTATTATTGAAAATTTTTCAAGAGTAAGGGGAATTTTGTAGTAGTATTTTTTATTTATATCACAATAGCAAATGTCATAATCAGTTACATAAATGGTTTTAGTGACTACTTCATCGACAAAAATTTCATAATATGGCTTATCTGGACTGAATTTTGGAAGATTATCGTTTTCATTACTCTTTTCTTTTTTTCTTTTCAATGATTTTGATTTTGAAAAAAATATACTATCATTTTCATATTCTAAATCATCATTGAGTTCAGACTTTTCTGACCAGTATTTATTTGATTTTTTATATTCTTTTATTTTTAATAATTGTTTATTTTTCATTTTAAAAATTATTTTATTTATTATTACTTTTATTATTTAAAATTAATAAACAAGAGAAATAATGATTATATTGATAGAAATAGTTTATTTAGTGATATATTAGTTTTTTGAATTATTACAATAAAAAAATAAAAATTAATGAACAACTTTTATTTTATTAGGATGAGAGAAATTACACATTGAATAAATATAAAATTAGTGGTAGTGGGTGTGAATCAAGTTTTTTATTTTTATTGTCTTGTGTTTTAATATAAATAATAATATGAATTTAAACACATTTGTGGGTAGAGGGGGTAAATATATTGGGTCTGTACATAAAAAATAATACATTACATATACTATTATATATTAAATAATTATTTTTGGTTGATTATAAATTTTATACAAATTTCAATATGATATAAAAAAAAAAAAATTTAAAGTTTAATACGATATAAGAAATTGGTAATTAATGCAACATACCCCCCATTATACAACAAATAAACAAAAAAAACTACAACATGTCCATATTAAATTAATATGTAAAAAAAAATTATATAATAATTAGTTTTTTTTTTTTTATTATTATTATTAGTAATTATTGAAGTGGTAATCTAAAAATAATGTGATTGTTTATTCTTTCAAGAAAAAAAAAGTGATATGGGGAATGTTGTTATCTTTCAACTCAATAGAAACAAAAAAAAAAAAACCAGTTCCCCAAGAATTAATTATGTGAAAAATAAAAAATTTAAAATTAAAAAAAAATAATATTTTAAAAAAAAAAAGTAAACATTTCTGTTAAACGAGCAACACACACTTATCCGCTTTTTTTATTTTTTTTAAAATATTTGAAAACCCCTTGAATAAAATAGAGGTATTTTTTTATTTTTGAAAAAATTAAAAAAAAAAAAAATTATAAAAAAAAAAAAATTTTATTTTAATTTTTTTTTTTTTTTTTTTGAAGATTTTTCGGGGAGTGATCGAATATACAGTGGCTTCAAAAACGGAATAATAATATAAAAGTGTTAATAATAAGAGAATTACCATTATTTCCCTTTTTTTTTTTGTGTGAATCTTTCAAAGAAGATTTTAAAAATTTAGTTTAATAATAATAAAAATAATAATAGCAATAATTAGTAAAATGACCTAAGTTTCCCAAAGTGTTGTCAGAAAAAGGATGGCGGAAAAAAACAAAGGGGTGTTAGGGTGCGTTTTTAAAAATTTATCATTACTTTTTTTTTTTTTATAAAAATCCAAATTTTTAAAAATCAAATTCCAAAATTTCATTTTTTCTCATGTATTATAATTTATTTTTGTAAATATATTATTTTTTATTTTTATTTAATGATTAATATATAGTTTTGTAGAGAATTATTTTTTGTGTTTATATGTGTTTAAATTATTTAATTATTAGAAAAAAAAAAAATAAAAAAAAATTCTTATTTTTTGGTCATTTTTTATTTTTATATTTGTGTGTGTAAATATTCTATTTGAGATAATTATATTATATATATTATATAGTTTTGTAGATAATAATAAATTTAATTTATTTATACTAATATTAAATTTAAACAAATGTATAATATTAATTTTTTTAATCAAAATGAAAAAAAAAAAATAAAAAAAAAATAAAAAAAAAAAAAAATAAAAAACCAATTTATATTATTATTTTTTTAATATCATTCCATTATTTAATAATATATATATTCAAGATAATAATAAATCTCCAATTATATGTATACCTAGTAAACCTCATGCAAATGGTCTTTTAAGTTATATGGTTGGAACCTTTTTAGAACGTATTCATCATTTGTCATCCCCTAAAAAAAGCCCAGAATCATCACCAAAAAGAGGTTCTTTTAAAGAATTCAAATATCCATATATTATAGAGTTTTTAAACAAGTTATATAATGAAATAAATCCCTCAAGTAGTGTTGATCACGTATTAGGAACGTATAAAGATTTTAAATTTCATTTAGTGGCGATAGTGCATTTTTTCCAAAGATAATTTAAATCATATAGTAAATAAAGGTTGGTTGGCAACAATTTCCTCAAGTAGCAACATTAACATATTGCTCGAAGATACATTAAAAGATGATAAAAGTTGGATTGCAATAGAACTTGATGGTTATTATAAAGTCTGTAAAATTGATGAAAGAGATGAAAAATTTCCTACATTTAAATCAATTGCAACAACTGGTTTTAAAACTCAAAATTGTGAAGTTAATCAAAGTAAAGGTTATAATATAGTGATGCAGTGGATCTTTATAAATTAAATGATTCAACTTTAAAGAAATAATGTTTAGGTTTAGGAGTTTCAAGATCAAGTAGTAATAGGAGAATGGTTATATCAATTTGTGGTATAGATCCATTATCTCATTCAACCAACCCCAATTCGTACTCATTATTATCAGAAGCAATCCAAAAAGATACTTTAAAATCATTTTCATTGGTTAAACTCAAAAACTTGCATCAAAATTTTAATTTACCAGCTCCTGCCCAGTTAACATGTGAAGGTTACATTTTAGCTCTTACCAGACTTTATGAAAATGAAAACTATGAATAAGATTCGCTTTTGAAGACCTTTCCCAATCTCTAAGAACGTCTCCTCCATTAGTATCAGATTTTTATAAAAAATGGTTCAATGTAATAGATATTCACAATAGATATCTATATTCAGGTGGTATTCATGGATATGTTAAAAATTGGAGAATATTTGCTGTTTCATGTTTAATCAAGTCTTATATCATCAATATCTATTCATTTTATATGTCAATTACATCAAAACACATGAAGTTTGAAGAATTTAAACAAATTTTCATACATAGCATTAGAGAAGTTAATTTAGTCCCAAAAAGTCCATCCTCAAATCAAAATCAAAATCAAAATTAATTTTTTTATTTATCCAGAAGTCCTGTATTTTAACTATTCACCATCTTTTTAAAGCTCAATCATATATATAAAAATACTTTCTATATTCTCATATTTATATAATTGATAAAATATTTTAAATAAAGATATTACAAACAAAACATTGTCTTTTCTTATTTTTATTTTTTTTTTTTTTTTTTTTTTTTTATTTTTTTTTTTTTAGATTCATATTTTTTTTTTTTTAATTTATATATATCATGTTCATCTTTATATAATAAATAATTATAAATTAAATCATATTTCTCATGTATAATAAAAATAATAAATGAAATATTTACAAGCAATAAAAGATTTGATTATTATTTTTTCTATTTTTTTAATTTTATTTTTTTTAAATTGATCAAAAAAAATACACCTGATACACAAATTAACACAACAAATAATTTCCTACAAAACCATATATAAATTATGAAATAAAAATAAAAAATAATATATTTACAAATATAAAATGTTATACATATGAAAAAAAGCGAAAAAATGAAATTTTGGAATTTGATTTTTAAAAATTTGGATTTTTATAGATTAATCAAAAGACTTTTTTTTTTTGAAGAAAAAAAAAAAATTTATAAGGAGTGTTTCAAACTCTTTCAAATAAAAATTTGTATCTAAAATTAGATAATAATGAATATTCAAATATTTTTTATTTAAATACCTAATCATGTCGTTAGATTAATATTAATAAAAATAAACAATAAATAATCCTATTAACAAAAAATAATAACAGTAATAATAAATACCTTAGTATATAAATAAAAGAAGTTATCGAAACTGCTGCTATGTCAATCCATAAATGAAAAACACTCAAATCAACTACCACAAACACAAATACCCAAAAATAAATTGGTGTGATAAATAATTTTTTCTTCAAAAAATAGGACATTAAACATATTATTTTAATTTTTTTATTATATATCTGATTATTTTATTTATTATTAATCTTAATATATTTTCTTTTTGAAGTTAGATTTATTTATTTTATTCGTTTATTTTTTTAATTTTTTTTTTTTTTGAAAAATATTTTTTTTGAAATTTTTGATAAAATTTAATTTTTTTTTAATTTAAAAAAATAATTTACTCCTCACATTTTTATAGATAAAATTTTTTTACAAACTAATATAAGATTAGAAATGATATCCATCACAAACTACTTACAGACAAACTACCTTTAAACATTCTTTTAAAAAGAGAAGCAGATTCTAGCCTATTAAACAATATGCAAATACAGATATGGAGTGCTATAATTCAATCGTGCTGATTGTAGTGTTTAAACAATAAGATAATGAATTATTGATAATCTTGGAAATGGTATTCAGTCAATGAAAACATATGGAAGTTTTAATTGAAAGTATAATATAATAATAGTAATAACAATTACAACAATAACAACAATAGCAAAAATAATATTCTCATGAATAAGCTTTTGTTTAACAATGAATAGCAACACAGTGTATAACAAAGATTCAAGATACTGTTAATGATTGATCAAATAAAAAGGTTAGTGAATGGATAACATCATTAAAATTTCCCATAGAAATCATTTCAACTCTCGAACGTTGTGTAATAGATGGAAGAACATTAGTTTTTATTTCTGACAGTTTACCAAATGATGTTTAATTAATTTCCTTAGGTATGAATGCTATGGGCAAAAGATTAAAATTTAAAACCTTTTTAGAAAAGTTATTAGCTTTAAAATAAAGTCAATATCATTTTTCAAAACAATAAAATAGTTTTATAAATAAAAAAATATGTATTAAAGTATATTAAATTTTGTTTTTGCTTATTTACAGTTAGTTTGTATAAAGAAATTGGTATGTATTATCTATGTAAATATAATTATGTAAGTAATGCAAGTAAAGTTCACAGTTTATTTGTATATC